CATTGAAGGACTGTGTGTGTGTGTGTTTGTGGAGGGAGGGGGTTAAACCGGGGAGCACTTAACTGTGGAATGGTGGGGTGGAGGGGCAGATGTTTCATACAGATTTCATACAGTCCACACAGCGACAGTGAGACAGGTCAACAGTAACACAGGGAGAAACAAGCAGGGAGGGGTTCAATGCAGAGGAGGCTTGCACTGGCACTTCTCAAGTTTGGCACCCTTCCTCAGGCAGCATCCACTTATGCTTTTTAATGTTCTTTTTACTTCTCAGAGCCTATCCACAATGTTAATAAACAGCCCCCATCCTTTATTCCCTATAAATGTTACTAGCTGGTATCTTTTATTTTGGATACACACTTACTCACTTACAGTTTATGGAGTTTTAAACTATCATGGAGTCTGGGTCTTCAACAGGGGTTCCTCAGAGTTACTGCGGGGGGGTCGCCAAATCATTGTTTGATCATTTATTGAATTAAAACACATCTGAAAAGACACATTAACGCGAAGCCAACATATTATTAGATAAACTGGCCTATGTGTAAAATATATATGTATATATATATGTTGTACATGTTATTGTAGGCCCAGTTTAAAATGCCACATAATTTAATACAGTATATGTAGTAGGGGTCCCTGCTCCATCTCTCTACAAGCTATGGGGTCCTTGGCCTGATACAAGTTTATGTAAAGGGAGGAAACACACTGTATGTTCCAGTGCTCTTAAAAATTGTAGTCTCTACATTGTACAATAAATGATACTTGCAGATCTTTTATATAGGCAATGAAATCAGGGATGTGGAGATGATTAAAAACAATTAATTATTTGGGTAGTAACTGTAAAGTAAGCAACACTTTAAAGACAATGTAATAACAAGAAAGAGTTGAATTAGTTTCAATCTATCTTATTGAAATCAAACTGAATATTTCTGTTATTAATAATGTGAATAAAGTTTAGGTACACTACACTCCATCCAGTGGTGAATTATTACTAACTACATTTAGAAGAGTACTGACTTGAATGGAGGTACCTGTACTTTACTACTGCGTGTATTTGGCAGCTATAGTTACTAGAGGCTTTGCTGATAGGACTGTACATACAAAATAAAGCTATTATGATCTCATAAAATACAATTCCAAGTTACAGACTATACCAGTGATTCCAGGTTGCCAAATGACTAAAGGAAGATAGAAAAAAAGAAATAAAAAGATCACAAACAAATTCAGATTTTTCTCAATTTATATGTTTTCGTCCAGGGGTCTGGAGAGGTGAATGTATGCTTGCAAACTTTTGTCATGAGGGGTCCCCAGCAGGCAGCCCACAACCCCAAAAGAACTGGAACCAGTACAGGATTAAACTACCCAACAGCACAGAAAGTAGTTCAAATGAGCTCCACCTCCACTACAACGTGAAAATGCTGCGTACACTTTCATGCACCAGCAACTAACACAGCCAGGGTCCATTCAGTTACATAATGACATTAACTCAAGTACAAGCACCACATTGAGCTACTTATACTTTACTAAGTATTTTAATTTTACACTCCTTCATGCTGCTTCTCTTCAGCAATTAGAGGGACATGTTTTACTAATCACTCCATTTATTTAACAGCTGAGATCAGCAGAGATTTGACATTAAAAACATATGAGAAATATAACACACATTCCTGCAGATTAAGCTGAATGAGTTCCATCTACACCAGCTGTAGCATTACAATGCTGCTTTCACACTGATGCATCATCACTAACAATATAATAATGTAATGTTTAACACAGTGGTTGTCAAACTGGGATCCAGGGATCAAAATGGGTATTTGAGTGGGTAGTAGGGGGTCCCCAGCAAAAGGAGGAACAAAAGGAATATTTTAATATGAAAAAGTTTGGGAACCTATAACATATCTGTCACAGGGGCCCATTAAGTAAACACATCTGCACTTTTATAGCCAACACTGATGTAAGACTGTAATGGAGAATTTCTGCATGATGTTATCTTCATATCATTTTTACCTTTATCTTTTTTTAAACGCTTTTATTTTGATGGAACCTTTTTTGTTTTGCACACTTTGTAACTATGTTTTGAAAGCTGCTATACAAATAAAATTATTATTATTATTATTAGATCATGTAAATGATCTTAATACTTCCTCCAGCACTGCATAATCAGTACTTTTACTGTTCATAGTTTAAGGGGCTAGTATAATACTTCTGTATTCCTACTTCAGTCAAATGTATCATTATAAATATATACCTTTTACTCATAAATGAAGTATTTTTACATTTTTATTTGACTTTTTTTAAACTTAAATATCTGACTTTGTGATATTAAGTCAATATTTTGAGATACTAAGTCATTATTGTTTGGTTTTCATAATAATGACTTACAGAATCTTTTTTCTCCGTCACTTTGGCAGAAATGGGCTTCCATAGATCAGGCAGAGATGTCTCGTTGAAAAGTTGTCTGCGCACCTGTAGCTCCATCGCACAGTCCTGTCTATAACGCATCAGTAAAGCCCTGCAGCTGCTGCACAGACACTCACTAAAGCACCCATCCTATATCATATGTTGTAGAGGCACTCAATAGAAGAATCATTGAACATGCACTTTGAATCCAGTTGTACTCACTGAGTGAAAGCAGCAGCCATGTGATCCTCATAGTCGCTCTCATCCTGTTTCTGCCTGTTTCTCCCGGATGGATTTATCCTTCATGCAGCGCTGCGCTACGACTCCTCACTGAGGATGTGGGGACGATTCGGGAAGATAAACCCGGGTCTGGCCGCTGACTGACGCCGTCCTGTCACGCCTTTCTCCTTGAATTTGTATCTCAAGTAAATGATCTCGCACAACTTATTGTTCACTTTTCTTCTTCTTTTAAAGTGAAAGCCAAGAATGCCTTTGTGTGTCCGCTGCTTCTTTCTCTCCTCTCTCTGCAGAGTTGGGGATTTGTGTGTGTGTGTAGATGTGTGTGTGTGTGTGTGTTGGGGGTGAAGAGTGTTTCTGTGGTCTCCTTGGCGGTGTCGTTGTTGCTCAGTGTCTCTCTACCTCTCTCTCTCTCTCTCTCTCTCTCTCCTCTTGGTGCTGTATTGTGCTCTGTCAGTCCTCAGTGTTTCAGCCAGTGTAGCACTGCCCATGCTGTCCCTGCCTCCCTTATCATGAGGAACCAGGGGCAGACCCAGCCCGGTCCAATCCCTGAGCTCTGGACTGGCTCTCGGCTGCCGGGACATTTTGAATAACAAAGGAAGCCGTGAGACAATGTGTTCCCCTGGTTTTGATTCTTTCCTAAAATGGTCCATGACTCAAGGACGCTGGGTGAAGTCACATCAGCAGCGATGTTGTTTGATCAAGGGAAAGGCCCGTTGGGATCCACAGTCAGCATGTCTTCATGTTGACTTGTCCTCCTCTGAACACATTCACACACACAGGCGGGAGTGTCTGTGGAGCTTCAGACCTAACATCTGTAGCTTTGACTTCAGTCACAAAAATGAGGAGCTATTAACCTGACTGCTGGGAGACGTATCTCCCTAGTTCAAGTGTCGTTTTGTTGGTCAGCATTCACACACATGAAAGGCATCTAAACGTGATTATGAAACTTTGTGTCTAAGCCAGCACAATCTGAAAACGCTATTTTCTCCCTGTGTTTTGGTCGTCCATCTATAAACCATTTTCCAAATCATACAGAACCCCTGGGTCACAGTGGTCATTTGAATACATTTTGTACTCCCTCTGGTCCATAGACTTGTAGGCTGCTGAAGGTTGTGACCAGTGGTGGACTCGGGCTTTTGAGGGGTAGGGGTGAAAAAAGCAAAAAGGGCACCAGTGTGCAGAAAGTTGGGATGAATTCATGGTGAAACGGCTTAGTCAGGGATAGCACCCCAGAGGGCACCTTATTGTGTTTTGTCCACTTGACGAAAACCCTTGATGTTATCTAGCACCCTGGAGGACACTTTATCATGTTTTCTCTACTGGAAAGGCACCTTGGTCGGCACTTTATCATGTTTTATCTATCAGGGGAACCCTGGAGGGCATTTATTGTGTTTTCTCCACTGGCAAGCATCTTAAAAGGGCACGTCATCACATTTCTTCCACAGGAAGGGCTGCGTATGATGTTTTATTTGCCACAGATATCCAAGGGGGCAATTTTGCAGCGCTTCCTAAATATGGTGGCAACTGCCCCTTGAGTCAGGCTGTAGAGCTATGGCTGTTGCTGTGATTATGGCAGTAGCCATGGCTGCACACATTAGTTTGTAATGGTGTAACTACAGTGTGACATACCCAAATCGGAATATGTTGGTCATAAAGCACAAATTATGCAATGGAAATGGATATTTCTTCTATTCGAAGTTGCTCATTTTATTTATAAAAAATGCAGCTCCATGATTAGTTCAGCATAGTTTAAAAACAGGTTGCATCTACCTTAAACAATCACTGATTAATGCACTGCCTGGGATCAGGAGGAACGCAAAAGTATTATGAGGGAATGTAATAGCAGTTCGAAAAATCCCTGTCTCTAAAGTGACAGGAGGCTGCGACGGTCCAGGGCTCTGTAGCAGTCAGGGTAAGGTTGTTACCTGATTGATTGATTATGAAATTGTGATTTCGTTATTGGTCTCAGTGCAGCAGTGCAGTAATAAGGCTGCCTGGTTAACGTAAGGAATTTATTATCAGAGCACACATCAAATTATTTTATGCTCATTCAGTTTGGTCAATTGCGATTGGTCCTTATTAAGACACAGTATAGGTCATCTCTGTGGCAGGAAGGGACTGATCAGATTAAACCAGTTGACTCAACACAGTGGAGTGGCTGTGATCCACAGTTTTGTCGTTCGTAGACCGACATAAAATACATGAAAAAGGAGCGAGTTAGCTGTTGTCCAGTTGTTTAGGTGTTTCAGTGTGGATGGACTTGAATTGAGACTTGGTCTTGCCCCAAAAGACTTCTGGGTGTTTGGCATCACATTCCGCATCAGACCTGGACAGCCTAACTGTTAAAAAAACACACAAAATAAATCAGTGTCATAGGTTTCACATTTCTTCACTTCTTTTCACATTTTCATATAAGTTCATCTCAAAAAGCCTGATTCTGTTTGTTTTTTTACTTACTCCTGCACAAAACTTAACTATTTTACAAGCATTGTTTATGCATATGTAACAGAAACTCTAATGAACCCATCCTCATTGTGTCTTTTCTTGTGCTGTGAGTTTTAAATGGTGAATATCCTGTCCCATTAGCCTGCAATGACAGTTTAATTTACTCTAGAAGTGGGCACACTGGTCCAGCTGGCGTTGTGTTTGACTTTTGGATTAAAGTCAGGCATTTCGGCGAGATTGTTGCCCTGCAGGAACCACAGAGACTCAGTCGCTTGTAGCCATGGAGACGGATATTCACAAACGTCCCAGGAATTGCTTTCAGGGCACTTTTACTATGCCTCCATTCACTTAGCTCCAAATCTCCGTTGACTGACGGGTCACAACTGGATTAAATCCAGATCCCCCCCTGAATGCAACACCAACCAGCGCGTCTATTTAAAAAGAAAAAGAGAGACTTTGTAATCGTCTAACTGCTGTTGTGCTTTTCGAAACTATGCAAACTCCACTGGCTGTTGATGGGAAGTCTGGGAAAAAAATAGGAGATAACATCAGGGGTGTGGAGGTTTTCCTGGGTGTTTCCTTCCACTGCAACAGTTAGTCAGTCATTAATAAAAGGCTTTAGAGACTGAGCTTCAAAGACATAGAGCTTCACGAGTCACGCTTGGACTGCAGATCTGGAAAACTTACACCAAGTGATCTTGGGATTGGTGTAATTGTGTGTGTACATGTGTACATTAGGATCCATGCTCGTGGTGTGAGTGTACATTGCAACCATTTGAATACTGCTCAGCCTTCCAAGCATGTAGGACAGTGGTTCCCAACCAATAGGGGGACACCAAAGCTTCACGGGGGATCGCAAGGCCTTCTTGATTTTAAGGGGTGGGAAAAAACTTAAACATAACTTTTTTTGGGGGGGAGAAAAAAGCTATAGTGTCCGTTTTCGGCTACTTCAGGAACATGGGAGGTCAACATGGCGGATTCTGACAGAAAAATACTCTTCTCCTCTGTAGATAAAAATGTCTCATTTTAAGGTAACAAAAACACAACAATTTCTTTATTTTTCAGGTGATTGGTAGACTAATGAAAACATATATATGATTTTTATTCCATCCAAATAGATCCCTATGTTACACACTGGACCTTTAAGTTGACATGGTGAACTTGCAAAATACTCTCCTGGCATATTTTGGGCAGAGCATAGTGATTACATAATTTGGGAAAAGAGAAACTTCTCGGTAAAAACAGTGGGATGGGGTTTTTTTCAATCAACTTTTCGACAATGAGCTGTCTCGGACACAAAGTAGTAATGATCAGCAGTCTATGAGTGGCAACAGTTGACATCAAAGTGGATGAAGAACATCCTTCCTACCAGTCACAGCCGACAAGCGCACCACTGACAGGAGACACCAGCTCAGTCACATTCAGGAAGCTCTGTGACACATCCTTCCCTCTCTCCCTCCCTCCATCTGTCATTTTCTCAGTGATCTCAGTTCACTGAAGCGCTGATGCGTACATGTACAACCCGTCTGTCCTGAATCCAGCTGGCCCGATGAGGTGCATCATCCAGGCCACATGGAGGTAATGGAGGGTGAAATCTGTGAGGAGCTCCGGGATCAAACCACTCTTTAAGCACTAAAGCTAACATGACATTCCTCTGACCAGCTGCAGGAATTAGAATGGCTGCTGGTAGTCAAGCATGCAGGCACACTCAGACATTCAACAGTGCTAATCTGACTTCGGGAGTGCAAACACAATATCAGTGATTGCAGGGCACAAAGATATCAAACTATCTAAAAGTTACCTTTGAGTTTTAAGTTAGCATAGACAGGGCCTTGAGTGTTTTCAATCTGCAACTTCACTGCTACATACCACTTAATCCTCCACACAGGGATGATGATATATATTATTTTTTCGTATTCACAGCTTGTTTTTGCTGCCTCCAAGTGGCCAAAAAATGAGTCACTGCAGGTTTTACTACAACCAGTCCTTCTACTCCAGCAGGTAGCATCCCTAAAATCCACTCTGTCTAACCCATTGTTGCCCTATTAGCACTTTTTTATTTTCCTTTTTTTCTATGCTAACGCAAAATAAAATAAACTAGCTAGCTGTGCCAAATGGATAATCATGACACCAAACTGTCTGAGAAGCAAGGGCAAGTGCACAATTTTTTGACTGGGGTGGCAGAAGTGGGGCACTGACTTAGGCAGGGGTGTCATCAAGTATGTGTCTCAGCTTTCCAGTCATTCCCAGTTTATACAATTGCAATGCAGTTTAGTGACCCAAGTATGCAGAAATATTCAAATGCACTAGGTGGAAAAAACACATTTATACCACATATTAAACAAACAACTGTAATTCTAGATGATAGACCGCTAATATTCTTAACAATAACAATGGTAGAAGTAGTATAAAGTAGAAATAAAATGCTAAGTTGTCATTTGTTTGTTGTTTGTTTTTTCATATAAATTAATTGCATTAATTAGCAGCAGCAGGAACTATTTTAAACGCGTCCTCCGCATTTCCTTTTTCATATGTCAACTTCTACCTTTACCAAGCATCATTTATTTTTTTATTTTTTGGCAATTTGAGGTCTTTTTCACATTCCTGGCATTTATACTGACGTTTATTATAAGCACATCAAAAACACCTTGTGTGGCAACACCAATCACCATCAAGTTTTGCCTATTTATTTTTTCTTTTAGGATGGAGAAACTAGTGTCCTTAGGTAACACTAGAATTTTGATATCCAAACCAATACAATTCTAGATAGGCCACGTAATTCCTGAAATAAAACAAGACATAAACCATGAAAATGCAACAAATTCTCAGGTTTTAGTTTTTCTGTTGAGGGAGGACTCTCTACCTATAACCGTGGAGAAATGGCATCAGTCACCCTGATTCAGATGTGTGAGTGCTGTTAGAAATCTGCTGGCAGCGAGCCCTGCCCTCTCATGTCCGGCATTTGGAATTCCTCAGCCGTGAGCTCAGCCGCTCTGTGCCGGCCGGCGCTCCGGTGGTTTTGTCCTCTCTCTGGGCCTGGGGCAGCGCTCGCTCCCTCCTTCGCCTCATTAGCCTGCTACAATGAGGCGGGCATGCCAGGAATGTGAGAGTGCATTCTTCCTCGTACCCCCCAGCTCCCCACCAGTAACCTCCTCAGCACCTTCTGGGTCTCCTTTGAACACTCATTGTCCCCCCCACCACCGTCCTCTATCCTCACTCCTCCACATCTCACATAGCATCCCCCTTACAAAGCTCCTCTTCCCCCCTGTGGTTCCCCTCCTCACGAGGCTCAAATCTCCCACCTCGGTGCTCCTCGCTGCTTGTTTCTCAAAATATCATGGCTTTCCGAAATTCTCTTGAGACATGGTACCAATCGCGGAGAGATAAGACTCTGATCCTCCCCATAATTTAGTACATTTTTTGTATCAGCTCTGACAGATTTACGGCAGCAACATCTGTGTGCAAAGGTTTCTGTTCTTGTTGCATATATCTAAATGATAGTTGTGACACATTCTCAGAATCTCAGTTCGTCATTTGGGATTTAGAAATGTTCTCTGAGTAATAGCTGCATAGACATGTTAGTCATTCTTTTCACTTTTTTTCAGTGCATAAACAGGGTGAGGAAGCTAATTTAGCATCGGAAACTGTAGTCCATAAACAATTAGGGAAAGGAAACCAACAGAACAGCAGGAACATTTTTGCAGACTCAAAATGTTAAGCTACAGCACAAGTCTATTTGGCATCAAACAAAAATTAGATTCCTACTATACTAATGCCAAAAAGTAATTTTTTATAATAGATTTTTATATGTTTAAGACTACTGTAAGATTACTGTAATTGTTTTTTGGCTACATGGGGGCAGTTAACAAGCTGTTGTAAAACAGTTGTTACACACCCAGAAGATATGTTTCTGGCCAACTGACTGTTCCCAAAAGGACCAGTGTGCAGGATTTAGTGGTATCTAGTGGTGAAGATGCAGATGGCAACCAACTTAATACCACTCGTCTCAACCGAGTGTTTAGGAGAAACTACTGTGGCTGCAAAATTTTGAAATTGAAATGCTGGCCCTATCTAGAAGCAATGTTTGGTTAGTGAAAACTGAAACATTGTGGTTTAACATGGCAGACCCACTCCCTCTGTAGATCCAAAAAGCTAAGTCTAAGGTAATAAAAACACAATGATTCTTGTTCTCAGGTGATTATACACCAATGAAAACATACCTGTGAATTATATAATCCATTTCTGACAATTCATTCCTTCTAAATGTTACACACTGGCCTGTTTTGTGTTTTTATATTTAGAAGTCTAAATATAGATTGGGGTTAAAGATCATTAAAGTTCAACATAGTTCAGCAATAAGCTTATTTGCTTTCTTGTCGAGAGTTAGATGAGATTGATATGACTCTCATGTCTGTCCACTGAATATAAAGCTGGAGCTAGTAGCTGGCTAGCTTAGCTTAGCATACAGACTGAACCTATAAGTCCAGTATTCATTTTTATTTTAGCTCTGTTTTGGAGCCCAAAAAGACTATTTGATGTCATGGCATTAGCTAATGGAGAAGTAGTAGTAGTTGCTGTCTGTCTATAGTTGAGTGCTGAGCGTATTGTGTGTACTGTTTGTTGTTTTGCTGAAAACAGAAGGTACGTGGGTAATAATTATCTGTGGGTTCATTGCTGCAAGTGACTCCTTTCACATTACACATAGTCATTACATTTATTGTTAATATATAAATATTGATAGGTGCAGCTTTAATTAAATTACACCAAAACATTTGTCCTAACTTTGCAAATGGAGCTCCACATGTTCAATTCCCTAGTTGTTTGATAAATTCACTACTTGGTCTAAAATACATCTGTTTCTTCAACTATTAAATACATACATACTTTTCCTTATGTGAATATATTCTTATATATTCATGAGTGTTCCAATCATACTTTTGGGTCATGACAGGATATGACGTTGATATGGTGTTCGATTTGGGCTGCACCCAAGCCTCTTTTTTTAACCTAATATTGTTAACATTCTTGTTAATCTGCACCATACAAGTACTGCATCTGTTGTCTTGGGTTCTTTTACAGACATTAAAGGCCAAGTGTAGCATTCAGCACTTGCCAGCAGTTACATATTCCATGCATGACTCACAATTAATTAAGTTTCTCGCAGAGCCTGCAACCCAGTACCATATAAGCCCACCTCATGACATCATCAACAAGTTAAATGCCAACCAGATCCTATACACCAGTGGTTCCCAACCTTTTTCATTAAGGGACCCCTTCTCAATCATTTAGTAAACCGATGACCGCTTGACATATTTTATGGATTTTTCATATTGCATTAAAAACTGTACAATGAACCCAAATAATGAACTAAGTAACTGTAAGAAGTTTGTCTAAAACGAGTGATTTGGATGAATTTTGAGCAGAATAATAATGTTAATGTGTTTTTTAACGACTTACAGGCTACCAGATTGCAGTAGTGAAGGAGACACAAAGTAAACAGTGTTGCACAGAATGTTGTTAGTGGTACTGAAGAGTAAGGAGAACACCAGCAACCAACCAGACCCAAATGACATTTGCAGGTACATTTACATGCTGTTTAATGTGCTGCAGCTGAGCAACTAATTTAGCAATCTAGCCAGCAAACTAACTGCTCTCTTCCCTGGGAATGTTTGTTTGGTGGCTCATTTAACTGGCTAACATTACGGTGCAGGACAAAATCTTGTGTTTGTGTTTGTAAGTTAGATAAGAAGGAGACTTGTGAGTTGTTGTTCAGAGTCTGTGTCAGCTGCTGTCTGGTTCCGTGTGACCATCTGCTCTGCCTACGATAGAACACTGACGGTACTGCTTTATGCAAGATTTAACTGGCTGTATCAAAATAAGGTCTTGATCCATCTACGTCGTCAGATATTGTAACAGTATTCCGTCGAATTAATGCAAAGCTAGAGGGCGCCATCATGAAACCAAAAAATATAACATTATATAATATAAGTTTTGCCTGATTTTTTTTTTATGGTGTATATAGCAGATCTGTATGTTGTAGCAGACTAGAAAATTTTATTTAATTTTATCTGGACTTAAAATCATTTTTTCAATGAGCACAGAGAAACTTTCCACTTTCAGCAGATGAATGTGAAAACATCCTTCTAGTGTCAAAACTCTGCACATACAGCATTCTGCAAAGACTTAAAAGTCTTAAGTTGTAGAACTTTTGCTGCCATCTACAGGTTGAAAATGTAGTCTGTCATTGACAGATGTGTATCCACACTACACTGTGTCATCAGCACAGGGGAAACAAACAGCTCCAGCAGTAGATACAGACTGGCAGCAGTTGTAAAGAAGCTGTAATACCCCTCCTCCTTGGGGATTTGAGCAATAAAGTAAGGGGTAAAGAGCACAGCTGTGCTGGATTGTGTGAGTGTGGTATAGATCTCTTGAAGAAAAAAATTAGCTTCACCTCTCTATCTTTCATTTTCTTCATTATGACCCTCTCCTGCTGCTTTATCTGCCTCTGCCTGAACACAGCTTCCCATTCTGGCAGCAGGAGGTTATCAGTTAATCCATTCATTAACAGAGTGGGAAGGATCCAATCCTCCGCAAGGCAAACCACTCCAATTACCAGGATCACACACACACACACACACACACACACACACACAAATATGAACCTGTTAGTAGGAGCAGACTTTTAAATACAGTCCTGCAAATACCTTGTCTGTATCTTTACTGCTGTTTTGTACATTTGTATCCAATGCTAGGAAGGGAACACATGAGCATTAAATAAGCAACAAAACCCAAGAGAACAGAGAAACACTGAGCAAACAGCAGCAGCAACAACAACAACAGCTGCACTGACGGTCTGGATGGACTAGCAGTAAGATCAGAGGGTCACTGAAAACATCCTATGTGGACCATCCCCACATCAATGGAACTGCTGAAGAAAGGGTCTCACAACTTCAACACCACTAAGGGGCTCTCCAACTTCCACAGATCTTCCCTCATCAAAAAAGCACATACAGTGCCTGCACTTCCTCTGGAGGCTGAAGAAGGTCAATCTACACCCTGGGAGAATACTGACCAACTGCATCACAGTTTTACCACAGCATCTGATCGCAAAGCCCTGTAGCGGGTGGTGAAGAGAGCCCAATGAATCACAGGGACTGCTCTACCACCCATAAAGCACACCTCCAACAAAAGATGCCAGAGCAGAGCCCACAGCATCATCAGTGATCCCACACACCTGGGTCACCACCTGTTTGTCCCCTCCAGTGGTGGATGTGTGGAATAAGTTTTGAAGTGAACTTTTTCACATCAACTTCCTTTGAATCTTTTGTACATCTTCAGCATGGTGAGAAATCAGTGGTGTCAATTAGGGCCGATTATCTGCCATATTGAGATAATCAGCAGATGTGTGCGCCGATGAACAAAAAATGTCTTCGGACCCATTTGCAGGCAGCCCTGTCAGTGTGGACGCTGTGGAACTAGATTTGTGCTGTTAGGTTTCAAGCCCTGTACTATCACTCTCAGTCAGCTGGGAGAGCCATCCATCCTCTGGATGCCCTCGGCCTCTAGTTTGTGGTTGCACAGTTTCATGAGGCTGTGATTACTCTATGAAATTGCTACTATGGAGACTGACACCATCCCACATAAATATAATTGGGCTCATTGAATCCACAAGAGTCTCAGCTTTCCATTCAAATCCAATTTATGCAATTCTAATACCGTTTCTGAACCCTTGTATTCAGAAATATTCATATACACTAGACATTTATACTGCATGCAATTAGTATAAAGTGTGCATGTCTGTAAAGGGAAGAGGAGACTATTTATAATCCATCTTGCAGCCCCAGTGGTCCCTCTATAAACAGGTATGAGGTTTTGGACTACACTGAGTTTTAGCTCTGCAAGTAACCCAAGACTCCAGTTTGGAAACATTACTGTAGAAACCTTTGCAGAATCACACCCGTTTTATGAATCTGATCAGTTGGGGAAAACTGACTTTTACAAGCGATTTGGAGGAAAGGGAACAAGAATAAAGTCTTTACACAGTGCGAGGCAGTCGGGGGGACACAGTAACACATCGAGGAGTGAATGAATGAATGAGGCAAACATAGGACGAATAAGCAACAATTCCATGTTTTTGGGATGGGTTAGAGAAGCGAGAAACAGAAAGAATCTGAATAAGAGTGTGTGTGTGTGTTTGTGATTGTAAAAACAATGGGCTGCCCGCGCACACACACCTGCCATACCTATGATGGGCTTCTGCAAGACCAGGCCGATCACCTGCAGACAGATCCCCTCCAGCTGTTGAGTGATCTGAGACGGAGAATGAAAAAATATAGTATCAAATATCACATTACAATACCTTAACAGCACGTGTGACAGCTGTGTGTGTGTGTGTGTGTGTGTGTGTGTGAGTGTGAGAGAAAGAGACCTCCTTGTGGTCCTCCATGACAGTGAGGATGGTGTCGATGGTGCTGAGGATGCCGAGGGCCATGACAGTCTTGTCCTCATTCTCCTCGTACTCCTCACTCTGCAGGACCCTGGTGAAGATCTCCGCCTGCCACACACACACACACTTACTTCAGGACAACATTACAGTATATCTTCTGCAGTAACAGACTGAGACAGAGATGCATGTTCCCACCAGATTCTGGGTCATGTCCACAGCGATGGCGGCCACCTCCTGGTTATACTCGCAGATCATCTTCTGAATGACGTTGGTTAGGTCGTCATTCTCCGTCTCCTTTACCACATGCAACAGCTCCTGCATGATCGGCCTGATGTACGGCCTGATGTACAGCTTGGCTACACACACACACACACCCTAGAACCAAGACACACACAGACACACACAGGAACAAAGAGCACGTGTGTAAAATCTTCCATCACAGTATATAATGATATAGAATAACATGTAATGGCTTGTCTAAAACCTTTCTGATTGTTTCTTGCCCTTTTGCTGCCATACTGTATAATGCTGTTTCTACCTGCTTCCAGTCTCTGCTAAGCTAAGCTAACCACATCCTGTGGAGTTTGATCAAACAGTAACCTGATCGACGACAAGAGATGCCCGTCAAAGGTGGAGGCCGCCATCGCTCTGCAGACACTGGTCCACAACCAGGAACAAGGTCTGTGGAGGCAGCCTCGGATGTTGTTGTTACAGTGTTTGAAGTTGATAACGTAATATCAATACTTCAATCAGACTCATAGACTGAAAAGGCATGAGCAATAGTACGGATGAATAGTGTCCTGCAGGAATAGTCCCGTAAACCCCGGAACTGAGCTAGCATTTTAGCACCTCAGTTCCCCTGCCTAAAGCAATGGGTCTTTTTATTGGGATTTGGTAGAATGCTTGAAATAGGCTCTGTGGTTGAAGTTAAGAGATTCTTCAGCTTTTCTTCTTATGACATAAAAATACATCAGTAAATTGCCACCTGTGTAATTTAAAAGCTTTTACGTGTCTTAAAAAGCGGTTTCTAACAACGTGTCTAAAGAATGAGACTACAATGGGTGTCTGTGACATTAAAATAATTAATTACACAGAACATTATCTTTACTCACTAGTTCACTTCACAGCTTTGTTGTGTTGTATACTTGGCTCTGCAAAACGTTATTCTAATCATGTAACTGTCGGTGTTGTTGATCTTATAGCCTAAGTTTAGCTTTTTACTTCTGCGAGTCTGCATTGCGCTTCAAAAACCATAAAATTTACCTCATAATACCTTTGTTCGTGAGCTTGTTTTCTGCAATAATTTCAAATCAATGAAAAATATCTCCTGGCTTTTTGTTCAAAGAACCAGGGCGAGCTAACTTTTGCACTTGGCCTACAAAGAATACATCCTCCCTGCAAACTCTGCATGTGGAATAATACCAAAAAATGCAAATATGCCATGAAATACATGGGACAACATTTTGGGAAACAGAGCTATTTGCTTGGTTTCCAAAAGTAAGATGAAGAGATAATGAATTTATATCATGTCGTGTATTAAGTACAGAGCTG